TAACTTCTCTCATCTGAACTGACAGCAGCATAGTGATGAGAAACTATCGGTTGATGTCAGCAGACAAAAGAAAAACATCACCAAGAAAACGGCGTGAGTTTGATCAAATAATTTAAAAAGTGAAACTGAAGATACAGATTACAGGAAGCAGAATATTACCAGGAAAAGTATTTACTGGTATGTGCGAGTTATAGAAAAAAGGATTTTAACAGTATTTGACATGATAATTTAAATGGCATCCTCCAGAATTTATCCAAAAGTTTTTCACTTGGAAAGTTGTGACACCGTTAATCTAATGTAAATGCAATTCAAAGCTGAAAGTCAAGTTTAGATTATCCAATATACACAACCGCCTGGGGTAACCATGCTGTACAGAATGTAACAAATACTTAAAAGTAATCAGTTTCACTAATCTAAAATGACAGGCATCTTTGTGAGGATGAAAAGGTCACAACAGCCACATATGCAAGTATAGAAAGAAGAAAGAAAGAAAAGAAAGTTTGAACACAATAAAGAATATCTTTGTGATTTTGTCGTTATTTTTGCTTCTGCACTTAAATGTATTATGATATTAAATGTGTTTTCCAGTGGTGATAATGCTACATCTATAATGCGTTACAGCTTATTCAAAAAGATTTTGACGACACAAACATGACTGCTTGGGTATGAATGAAGTAATTATGAGCACTAGGTTGTAACAGTTGAGAGATAAGTAACAGACAGCTCTGCTCTGTGAATTATTCAAAGTCACTGAGTCAATGCCACGTCTGCATCTCACATACGACTTGTTGTACATTGTGTTTTAAAGTGTAAAACACCACCTGAAATGGTTAGAGAACAGCTTGTTGTTGGATGTGATCATGAACACATGATCTTTTTTTTATCCATTGTGCTTCAGACAGTTACATAATACACAACATTTTCTCTAATTTGCAACAATGGACTTCGTTTAAACTGACATAAAAATGCTGAAATAAATGTGCCTTTAAACTGGCAGGTGCACAAAAACATGTTAAAGGAAACTCTATAATGATACTTATAATCTTCATGCAGCAATAAAAACATGACACTGTAGCATGTGTAAAAGGAGAAACAGCGCCCCCTGCAGCTTGTAGAAGGAAGTGCCCAAGCGGTCTCCCATCCAAGTAGAAAGAGATTTTCATATCGGGAGTGTTCAGCATGCATGAGGCATGTCAGTCATCACTATAAGAACCACGGAGTGTTTTATGTCCATAGAAATACATGACGTAACTCTGAATACAAACACACAACAACAACAACAATAATAATAATAAAAAGAAGAAGAACAAGACTGTATAGCAGGGCTCTTATCCAGGAAGGGAGATCAACAAACTCAAAAGAAACTCCGAATTGATAAACGCTGAGCGTCCAGAACAGCTGATCAGAGTTAGTTTAATCAACTCTGAGTATGCCCACCCTGAGGTAAGCACGTGCGTGATACCATTTTTTTTAAACCCAATCCAAAATCCAAAAGCCTATGATTCACCATGGAAACCGGGCAGAGAAAACGCTCGGCTTACTTCACCCCACTTGAAATAGATATTCTGCTGAGTGTATATGGAGAGTACGAACACATTTTTAGCAAGAAAGGCAACACGGCTGCAGCAGCAAAGGAGAGAGAACTGGCGTGGGAGAGAATTGCAGCGCGTGTAAATGCGTGAGTTGAAACGGTAAATACTAGTCAATACAATCCTGAGATGCATTTACAGGCGAATTTTTACTCATAATTTTAATTAAGGTGCAATACGGGAACAAAAAGGACTTGGCAGCAGCTGAAAATGAAATATAAAAACATAGTTCAAACAGGTAAGGCCCACTTTTTCTTTTGTATATGAGTCCATAAATGTTTTTTTAAACCCACAGGCCTAATATCCTGCTCAGATTAACATATGGCTTCAATTTAGCTAACAGAAAGAAGGCAGAGGCTCGCAAAGTGGTTGAAGGGGCACCTCCATCCATGCTGACGGAGGCAGAACAGTTTTCCAAGAGTAAGGATACTGGATGCCCGGTGGCTGAGCCCGTCACCCCACAGAGCGCAAGTGTCTGCATAAAATGTAATTATTTATAGCACACACATACATGAAATTTGAATATGTGGGATGAAATTCTCATTTCCTTCCTTTTTATAAACATAACCAAGTAAATTTTAGTGCCAACAGTTTAAGTGTTAAAGTGAATGAAAATTTAATGAATGACTGAGTGAAGTAAAAGGCAAAGCATAAAGGTTCAAATGCAACAAACAAACCAAAAATCGAATTCATTTATATCTCTTTTAAAAATAACTAAAAAGAAGCAATACTTCAGGAACCATCTCAGCCAGACTCTTTGGCCACGTCTGACCAAAGTACATAGTGAGTTATACTACAAATTACAATTCACAAGTGTTTGAAATGGGATCATTTCTGTCTGCATTGTCTCAACTAAAGGTTCAGTACATTTGGTGAAACAGTAGCTAAATTTCTTCATCAGCAGTGCAGTACTGATCCTTGTTACTAGTATTAGCTTGGACATGCATTTTCCATAATGTCTTTATTACTTAGGAATGCTGTTCCCTGCTGACTTATTCATAATGCCATCATGTGCTATAACACATCTGCATATTTATTTCAACAGTTGCTGATGGCCTTGATGAGACTCCTACTTCAGCAGAAGCATTTCCATCCCTTCCATCTGTAAGTAGGTGACTGAGTGCTCCTGAGATATTTCTAAAGAAAGGTTTCTAAAACAGAATGTTGCTCTTCATCACAGGAAGCAGACGAAGATGACGATAAGGATACATTATCTGCTGAGATAGAACCAGATAGACCTAGTGAGGTACACACCATGACAGTAGAGGTATGTTTTAGTCGTGTGTTCTTGTATTTGAAATGTGCAGTGAAGTGATGACGATGACTGGAAAACAACCTTCATATTCATGTTTTTATCTTTTAAATTAACAGAGCAAGGCCGAACATTATCAAGAGGAAGCTCCATCAACTACCCCAGCACATATTAACACAGTGAGACGTTCAATGCCATTCTGCATTTTCATAGCTTTATTTAAACTGCACCATGCATACATTTCAAGCCATTCTTACATTTTACAGTTACCAGTTAAAGAAATTTACAAAATGCACCTCATCCAAACAATGACAAAAACTGACAAAGAAATCACATACTTGGATCGTCAGATTAGAAAGACAGATCTGGAAATTGAATTACTGGAGCACCAGCTAGAGGTGGGTAACATGTTACAGGTGGTTACTCTCAGATAAATCCACAAATGATAATGGCTGGTTTTGTATTTGTAGGAAATAAAGAAGAACAAATAAAATGTTGAATAAAGAGTCCTGATTTATCCTCTGGGGGTGGGGTAAACTAATCTGAAAAACGATTTTAGCAAATGGTTTCTCTGACAGCTCTTGCATCATGAACATTTTCAGGGTGAACAGGATCCTCTTCCCCAGGTTCATCCAGTCATATGGCAGGGTGCTGCTAAGAGAGGCAATATTATGGAGAACAACACATGCCACAGTTCTCTCTGATGATACCTTGAGTCTATGCAGGCACTGGAACCAGGATTTGAATATTCCTAGAGTCATGTCCACCCAGAGATGGGGAAGTTTAATTACAGCAGCTACAATCCCAAGTATAATCATGAAGTATAACTGAAGGATTTGTACATCAGTCACCTGCTGTGCTACAGAATTCCTCTTTAATACTCCTTCTTACCTTACGAGATTTCTTATTTGGAATACTACAAAATTTTGTAGCTCATGTGTAAGAGAAAAGTAAATCTTTCTAACTGGTGCATAGTTTGTGTCATAAAGGAAACCCCTGATGGTGACAAAGCAAATTGCCACACAAAGAGGTTAGTCTGATGTGAAAAGCACGACCTCGCTGTGTTATATTTGATATGTATAGGGTTGGAGCAAAATGTTCGTAATGGAGACATTCAACGAGATGCTCATCTGGGAATGAAAAAAACTTCTAATCAGGGTGTCACGCACAGAGATCTGAAAGATCTTCCGGGGATGGTGACACTATATAGGCAGCGATTTTATACCTGTTAATCTCTAAGATAGATCTTAATCTGCTCTGGTGCAGGTTTGGTTCAAGGCAGGCATGTGCAATAGTGCAACTTCTGGTACTGATCGGATGCTAAGTAATTACATGGCCGGTACCAATACCGATATTTTGATCTTACAAAGGCAGCTTATGTCTGGGTGAGCAGTGCGTCATGACTTATGAGATTAATCATCAAGTTACAAATTCTTAACACATTTTAATGAGCACCAAATCACTGTTAACACAACAAAACACACCTCAGGTTTTCAGGTTTTTTTGAAACTGGGGTTTTTGGAGACCTGAAATGTAAACATACCTGTCTCTTAAGGAGTTTGTGTTAACTTCCATTGTTTAAAAGCGAGGCTATAAATAAAATAGATGTGACAGTCAGTGCAAAAAAGTTCTGACATTTTTCACAGTACAGCTACAGTGGGCTACATACTGGACATAGAGGACTGAAACAAAATATCAGCCCTGTTATGCTAGTATCGACCCAATACGTGTTGGTATGGATACAATAGACTTTGTTTTAACTGAAATAAGCAGTATTTGTTTTGATCTGCTCACCTCTGATTCACAGCATAAGTTACCATGGGGATTTAGTCCTGTGAGAAGTGAACCCCCTTCATAGTATAGGTAACCCTGAAGTTACCTACATAAGACAAAATCCTGCTTTGTAGTTTAAGCTTCTGCTCCGGTATCAGGTTATATTTGTTTCGATCTGCTCGCCTCTAATTCACAGCATAGCTTACCATGGTGATTAAGCCAGGTAAAACTTTCATACTACTGAAAGCTCAGATTTAAAGCTCAATACAGCCAAGCTGACTTTGCTCTGTACTTCAACGCATCTGTCCAGTTTTTTTTCTTTTCTTTTCCATCATGGACTGTATGGTTTCATACAGTTGTGTTTTTCACGAGAGACCCCTGAAGGCCACACTGATTGGAATCTCGGAGCAGCTGAGAGACAAACACACTGAGCCCGGAGAGCGACGGGAAATGGTTTTGGAAACAGCGGCGTGTTATGAAAGCAGCCGGGAAAGCGCGTACCTGCAGGTGTTATACTTATAGCTGCCTGCCACAGGTAAGTTTCACTCCGCCACAGTGGTAACTCTGCTAGCTGATGGGAAGAAGCTGTTAACTCCCAAGTGAGACCCTAAACTGTACTATTCACAAATGTGTAGTTTTATTTTAGTACATTTAAAAAGTTGTTTTACCTCGAAAATCTGTAATTTGTCACATTTCTTGTACGCAAACGGTTTTACTCCACAAATGAGCTGAACAGTCATGTTTTCAGCAGTCTAAGTAGTTTGCCCTCGGGTTATTCTTCTGTTTTTTCGTTTACATAAAGCACTGAGTGGTTTTTCTCCCCCTGAGCCTTACTTTCTGTGGAGAACTTGGCATGCCACAAGAAACAGGCAAATTAGTTAACGGTGTCCAGAAATCTTTTTATTACTTTTCTGTGTCAGTTGTTATTTGCTTGTTTCCAGGGTAGAGTCATCAATATATTTTTGCTTTGCTTTGTGTTACGAAATGGACATTCCTGCTGCTTTGCTATCATCTTAGCTAACTGACCTTCGTCATAGAGGCTATAAAATGGAACGAATCGCTCTTTGGGTGTAGGACCTTGTTGCATTGACCGTCTGCTGACATTTGGCCATGAACCTAAGAGCCTCACTGCTGCTATTACCCCCACCCTCCGATGAACCCCACGCACCCTATGCATTGCTATAGCATGTTTCATTATTTGCAGGGTATTGTGAATGACTCTAGTATGTGTGCTTTGAACTCCACTATCATATTAGACATTCTTTAAATCCATAGGGAGCAATCCATTCTAATATTGAACTGCTGAAAGCTTGCATCATAAAGAGACCTTAGTTTAAGAGGCAGTTCTTGGAGCAGCTTGAGCTGAATTCAGTAGGTTGTAATTACTTGTGCAGTTGTGATAATGCTCAAAATGATTTATGAAGGAAAATCTCATCATCTAGTGTCTGTTGTTTGTTTTGATAGTCTTCAGTAGTGATCTGGTCCCTGTACTAAAGACTGAGTTCATCATACCCAGGGTGCCATTCTGTTATCTGGCTTCTCTTTAGTGTAACATCAACAATCAGCGGGAACAGGCACACAGTGCTGGTTATCAGATTGCTAAGTTAACCCAATCACAAAAATGAAGTTTACTGGCAGCAGAATTGACGATAAAATTATGCTATAGTAAAGATATGAAACTGTTACGCCCAATACAGACCGAAAATAACACTGCTGCTGCAGACACACCAGCTGAGTGAGAGAAAAAGCAGTTTACAGTAGTTTAGTATTAAAAGAAACCAGAATAAACACGTAGGCTTAGTCTGCATTCAAAGGCATTTTTAAATCTTCTTGGAAGACCCACTTTTTCTGTGTGGCGTTTGACCAAGTGTGAAATTTTATTGTTTTATTTTATTGTGTCAATCCATGTTTTTGTGTCTTGCACTTTTAAAAAAAAATAAAAAAATTCTTATATATAATTGTAACTGTTTGGTGCTTTATAAATAAAACCTGGCTCAGCTTTGTATCTTTAGTTCATCTATCCACCAGATTTCTGTGGAAAGATAACTTCACCAGCTCAAAGTTCAAACTCATAATCTGATTACAGAATACCTGCACGTTGTTAACGTAGGAAACATCGGAACTTTTGTGATTCTGTTTACTCTTAATTTCTTAGTTTTGATTCCCCTTCTGTGATTTGCTTTGCTTTTGCACACTTTTTTTTTTTTCATAATTTCCCAGGTTTTTGCCAACAATAATGCTCAAAAGTCACACAGTTTAAAACAAAACAACTGTCTGGTTCACAACAAACAACTATTCAGACTGGTGCTCTGCTGGGCCCCAGCAATTAGAAACTGAACAAAACACTTCAGTGTATGGAGGATGTTTGTGTCGTTGGAGAAACTGTAAAATCTGATTTATTTTTATTCACACCTGTGAGATACATTATCAAACTTAAACTCTAAACAGGGACAAAGATACAGTGACTTGTGTTGATCAGATTTAAATTCAAACTACAATATTGTCATAAATCATAAAGTAAATGTTCACCATTCTAGAAGCAATAAATAAAATGAGCCACAACTCACTGAGTTGTTTTTGTTATTTTTAAATTAAGTATTAATAATATTGTTGGTAGAGCCTCTGTCATCTCATTAACTCCACTTTTACTCTCCCTCTCTGCATGCAGCAGGTTTAAAGGTTGTCCTGAATGAAATGGCAGAAGGGTACGACTGGTTCACCAACCAAAGAAAATCTCCACCTGCTTCCTATTCCCCTCTTTCATGTCATGACAGCGGCTCCATCCAAAAATGTCTGCCAGTGAAAACTCTGCAGCCTTTCTCGAATGATGGTAAAATTGAGCATGACGAAGACTCTGGGGGACGTCAGTTGAATGAGGATCCTTCGCCTCATTTGTATGAGGAACTTTTCTGTGCCGGTCAAACTTCCATCCCTCTGGGCCATCTGGCCAGTGCCCTCATGACCTCGTCTGGGCTGAAGACTGATGTGGTGAAACAAGGTTACCTGGGGAAGCTGGAGCGGAACCACAAGAGATATTTTGTCCTCAGAGCAGGGAGTCACACTGGGCCGAGCCGACTCGAGTGGTACAAGAGCCAGGAGAAGTTCATGGCAAAGGAGAAGTCTTCTGGCAAAGCTGCGCTGTTTGGGTCGAGCAAACAAGGGTCTGTAAAAGTGACTTTATATGTGAAGCATATGATACAGCACCCTCAAATTGATGTTTTTTAGTAGTTTCTTTATAAATCTCTAAATAATAATACAGTTAAAAATATTTCAACTATTAGCAGGTAGTCCTAAATTTAAAAAGTATGATACTCAAAACATGTGTCCAAAAATAGGTGTGTTTGTAGAGGGTTTATAGGATGTATGTCTTTCATTTTCATCTGAAGAAGCATTAAAATCTAACTGTATTTAATTCCCCAGAGTGATTTACTTGCGGTGCTGTCTTGGCGTGAGCCGGATTGCCAGTTCCCGGAAAGGCCACACTGTGGCGTTGTATCCCAAGGATCAGACCATGGTGCTGGTGATGGAGGACCAGAAGGAGCAGGAGGATTGGTATGTAGCCCTTAAGAAACTGATGGAGGAAGAGCAAAACGATGAAGAGTATGGCGAAGGGGCTGATGAAGATGATGATGGCTATTGCACTCTGCCCCCTGCTGCTTTCTTTAAAGAGGTTAGAGCACTTTTCGGTTGTAGTTAAGATCATAAGCAGTTGATTAAATATACTGAATTTAATAACATCTTGATCAAAGCGAGTAGCTTCCCTGATACTCAGAATCAATCAGAAATGGCAAATATGACAACCTTATTCTCAATAGGACACATTTATGCCACACAAGTGCTGTACCTCCTTCAAAAAGAAACCTAATCTAATGATTAAACATAAAAAAGGACTGTGCAGAATTCATATTTTCATCAGATGGCTGCTTTGACACCCTCAGTCAATTCAAAATAGTAATTAAAAACACCTCCCAGCTGTCTTGCTCCAACCTGTTTCTGTCACATTGTCTAAGGTTTGGCCCATTACGGTGAAGCCCAGAGGTCTGGGTAGTTCCAAGTCCCTCACTGGTGAGAATCGGCTCTGCCTCACAGCAACATCTCTGATCTTGGTGAGAGTGGGTGCAGGAAATGATTTGCCATCCGTCACGATACCTTTGTTGAGCGTTCGCCGCTTTGGCCACTTGGAGGGCTTGTTCTACTTGGAGCTCGGCAGGTCTGCACCAAATGGTCCTGGAGAGATTTGGATGGAAACAAATGACCAAGGTAATTAAACAAACAAAAAATGTTGTGTTGAGGCCTGACTGGACAAAAGTAAAGCGTGTGACTCATCCTGGTGTATATGTTCTTTACAGGAAACAGAATACTGGCCCAGCATATTCACGAGGCAGTTCGGGAGGCAGTTCGGGCACTAAGAGTTCTTCCAGAGTTGAGCTGCTCTCCAGTCTCCAGTCAGAGTCAGAATAAAGGCCTTCTGGCCTCAAAACGCTGCAGACCTAAATACAGAAACAGAATGGTGAATGTAAGACCACAGCGTCCCTTAGTCTTGTTCCCCAGAAGTCCTGACATACAGACTAGTCCTGCACAGTCTTGTGTAAAGCCCCTCGAACCAGACGAAACAAATCCTGAATCGTCTCCAAGCTTGAGCTTTAATTTCAGCCCTTGCAGATCTCAGAATAGGTCCATTTCTGAAACTTGGAGTGACATGGAAATGAAGATGGACCAATGTGATGCCGCAGCCTGTGAGATGCAGGAGTCCGTTGACGACAGGGAGGGACTGGGATACATGGTCATGTCCCCTCATGTTAGCCGCAGCTCATCTGTGTTATCTCATGATGACTATGTTACCATGGCAAGCCCACATAAAAATAGCCAGCCAGCTTACTCGTCATCCTCTGCTTCTCTGCAGACATCATTCATCAGGCAAGTCTTTTTCTTACCTATATTGGTACTAGCAGAATATATGATCTTGAAACAATGGCTGAAATACTTTTGACAGAGGGTACTGCAAATAAAAATGTCAGAATTGATCAACATGTTTTTTGTTTTTGTTGTTTTGGTTAACCTTGGCTGCCAGTTGTGTAATTTCTAGAGTAAAACTTTTGTCGTTTTAGCTCCTCCTCTGACAGCAGCTCTCCCCTGGACCCGCCTCATCATCTGACCAATGAGCACAGTCGGCCACACTGGCTGATGACACCAGCCCAACAGTCAAAAATGGATGCTGACCAATCGCAGATGAGCATCAGTTGCTCCACCGAACCACAAGTTGATACAAAGCAGGAAGGCAGTAAAAGCTCAGCACAGACTGGAGTCACTTCTCCTTTAGGGGGCATTGATGGGTCCGACCTGAAAATTCCATTTGTCACATTTGGATCAGGCTGTAGTGGGCTGATCCAGGCTAGTTTCAACTTGGATACAGATCAGTCTAGTCAATTCCAAGCTGTACCAGGCCAGTCTAGTATTAGAAGATGCTGGCTGTCATTGCTTCTGCCTGCTTGCCTTCAAGCTGAGGACGCATCCTGAGTGTTTGTAATGATTTAATGTTTTGTTTGAATCTCAGTAGTGTAAAGAAAAGCTGATTATTTATAGGTCACTTTACAAATGAAAAACGTGAAAATTAAAAGAAATATTTCAGTGAGATTGTTGCTGACACTTGTTGCACTTGATCACTTGCAGTCGTTGCACATGAAAAGAGAAGCTGGGACTAACGTCTTTACACAGTTTAGTAATGAGTATACTTTTGAGAAAAATAAAGTTGTTGTTTTACAGTTTGTCTGTAAAAGCGCACAGTGTGCCTCTTTTTGTCAGTGGGTGTTGTTTTGGGGGGTTTCTTCTGCTTGGAGTCTTGTTGTTTCGTGGAGGAAAAAAATTGTTAAATAAAATGACATAAATTGAGTTTTTCTAAAAGTTTTTCTTCCCCTGTTTGGTAAAAAATTGTAAATGCCAGTTGATAAAATGCAAGTGATGCATTATATCTAATCCGTCTGTTAACACGTCACTAACTGTTCTCTAGCAAGACTTTAACACAACATATTAAAACTATATTTAAAACTGTAGGGAATTAAGTGTTGAGTGGCCGGTGACTGTTAAGCTTATTTCTAGCTTCAAAATAGATTTTTAATATGCTACCATGTCGATGGATTTGTGAACATGTATATCATATGCACAACTGTGTGTGTGGCCTATCTCCATTCAAATAAGTAGTACTCTACAATACTCTAATTAAATTCAAATGTAGGAACATTTCCTATTCCTGTATCAATACAATGAGGACAATGACCTAACACTGTTGTATTGCAACATGGAGTAGTGTCCAAAAGCCACCCCCTTATTTCTTTATATTCTGCTAGGAAAATGGGTGCAATGAACCATTTGCAAGCATACATGGAAATACAGGATGTAACACAAAAACAGTTGTAGTACTTTAATGCTCAGCACAGCCTGAAGTATTTTAGGCAGCTTTTAAGTAGTCTTCAGGAATAGAAGGACACTCAAAGCTCTTCTTTGGATGAGAAAAAATGATGCAACTGTAGCTGTAGTATTGATTCTGATATAGTGCAGGCCTGAGCCTGACTTGTAATGCACACTGGCAGAGCAGTTACTGCAAATAAATCCAGATGTGGCCACCAGGAACATCATGGAAGCCTTTTGTGCTTAAACATAAAAACCACGTCGTGGGGTATGAACCCAAAGAGAAGAAAAACAGGATGTCTGTGTTTGCAATTATACTGAAGAACAAGCTGTTTTCTAGTTTGGGAAATTGACTTCAGCTGTGATCTTGCAATACTGTCTGTGGCTTTTTCCTGTTGAAATATAATACACTGCTCTTCTTTATTCAAGTGGGTGTCAAATTCTTATTAAGCTGTAAAGCAGTGTCACTGCTGAGCGCTACTGCTGCTCATCCCTTTAAGTCTGTATACAAACAAAAGTCAATGACTGTAACTTTGTTATTATTGCATGCTGTAGCACCTAAGAGTACGCATGTTCTTAGTGTTTTCTATCATTTCAGTGTCCTGAATGGTTCTAGGAATCCTCACAATAACAAACAGTGCTTTATAGAGGCTGTAACAACAATTACATGCAAAGCTGCCTCTGTAACTGTGCAGCTGTGTTTCGTTTTAACGTTATTCTACCTAAAATCATGTCTCACTAATGCATTACTATGTTCTCTGTATGTAGTGTACTAACTCACTGCGTCACTGTATTCAGATGTGTTTTCTTGCTTCTGTGGACATAAACACACTCAGATGGTTTTTGTGGTAATGACTGGCATGTGTCTGATCCTGCCACTAACACACGACTCTGAATATTCACAACGTCAGGAGCCTAAGCACCATCCGGCCTGGTTAGAACCTGAAAGGAAGACTGCCTCTTTTTGAAAAGTGTTGTCTTTTCTTGTGTGTGTGTTTAGCCTCATGCTTTTGAATGTTCAAATACTGGCCCAGAGAAGAACAGACCACTATTGAGTTAAGGCCTGGTCACCAGGCACTCCCAAACAAGCTCCCTCACCAGACCTAGCATCAGGATGGGGTCTCCACTGGTGTCCCTGGGTATCTCCAGTAAGGTTTATATATTCAGAAATCAGTTTATGGACTGATTTCAGATTTTGAGTTGCACTTAGTCTGACCCCTCACCCAGGACCATTTGCCCTGACAACATTGCTCCTGAAATCTAACATCTCATCACAATAAGGTGAGTCCTGACACATACAGGGTCTCCATCAAAAGGAATCATCTAAGGTGCATTAGGCATCTGATCAGGACGCCTAATGCATCCTGCATTGGAGTCTTAGATGAGGCGTTTTGGGCTTGTCCCACAGATAGGAGACCATGGGAGACCAGGGCAGGATGGGAAGATTATGTGTGATGACTGGCCTGGAAACCAAATGGTAGAAGTGCTGGAAGAGGCAGCTGGGGAAAGTGAGGTCTGGGCATGTATGGTTACTACCCTATGACCCAGACCTGGATAAATGATTGGTATTTAAAAATGCTTGTTGATATGTTTTTAAGACACATCAATAAAATATATTTTGCACATTTATGCTATTAGACTCTGGAGCTCCCCCATGTTCAACGTGATTCACTTACCAAAACAAAAAAGAAGTGCAATAAACAATCTGAGTGAATTTGACAAAGACAGTTGGTGATAGCAACAGATATTAACATTATTGTTAAATGAAAAATTGTGTTTTTTTGCAAAGATTATCATCATGTACACAAAATCTGATACATGATTACAATTTTCATTTTTAATGTATGCTGTGATTAGTTAGTGCTCATTTAAAAGTTTAGGAATTGTTGTGCCCATGGTGCAGTTGTCATTGAGATTTCCTTTGAGAGGAAACATGACATGTAGAGTTTTTATGAAATGACAGAGACTAACAAGAGCTCAACTACAATAGGCTCATCCCAAACTGGATTTTTTATTCTATTAAAGCCACAACTTTAAAAAAAACTAAAAATGTTTCCTCTTGTACCCGTTGTGTGAATTCTGTGGTAAACATGTTGCCCCGTGTGATTTGATCTGTGAAGGAGAACGAGAAATGCATGCCACTTTCTTCATTTACGCTTTCTCTCGGAAACACTTTCTAAGACACTATGTCAAAATTTAGCTTTGTTCTTACATACACATACAATTTTACTTTACATTTCTGGGGGCAGACATTTAATTTGGTTATTAGCTTTCTAGGGATTTTTGTTTGTTTGTTTGCTTTTGTGTGTGTTTTGCCATTTCACTTTTTTTATCAAGCTTTTTTCCAGGATGGGATAATGTTTATATTTCTACAACTGCATATTTTGGAAGATTTTGCTTCTCTATGTACAAACTGCTTCCAGCACTGTTGCACAGTACAACAATGCAATGCCTTTCAGTGGTTTCAACAACTTGATGCAGTTAGAGCAATGCAGTTCAGTGTAATACTTTAACCTTTCAGTATTTACAATCAGAATTGGTGGGGTGGAGCAGTTTCCTCTCTACATGTTTCAACATCAGCAACTTCCCCCTATAAGAAACACGACAGAGCAGGATCAGTGGTGAGAAACTTGGACTTCTGGATGCTAATTTCTCTCTCCTAATGATGACTCTCCTGCACACTGTCCTTGCTCTGGTCCTCAGCTGGACAGGTCTCTCTTCAGTCCTGTACATTTTCAGTACTGGACTGTTTACTGTGGTTGCACTTTGGACTGCGAGGCTGCTGCTGCGGCACGCCTGGTACACTCACAAGTTGTCCTGTTTCAGCAAACCACAGACACGTTCATGGCTGTTGGGCCATCTTGGGAAGGTACGACACGCAGCAATCATCTAGATTTTTATGATCTATTTGACATATTTATCTCTAAATCGTAACATAACTGTAGAGTTCCGAATTAAACAGGGTTTACTTTCTGTTGCAAAATATCACCATTATTTCCTCTTCGACTGTTTTAAACACCGCAAAACTTTAAATTTTGTTTCGGGATGAAACATTTTAGATGCAGAGCACAGAAGAAGGTCTTCAGCGGGTGGATGACCTGGTGCAGACGTACAAACACTCCTGCTGCTGGTTCCTCGGTCCTTTCTATCATCTGGTCAGACTCTTCCACCCTGACTACGTCAAACCTCTGCTTATGGCACCTGGTAGGGTAAAACACCAACAGTCAGTCAGTATTAAACCACATTTCCAAAGCTTTTGTTCTTCTCTCACATCATCTGTTATTTACTTTTTTCAGCCAGCATCACAGTGAAAGATGAACTCATTTATCACAATCTACAGCCATGGCTGGGTAAGTCAGACATTTCAGTTTTTCTCATCCATGGTTGCAAGATAGGATCACTGTCAAATTTTTTTAAATTACCCAGTCTTAATAGAACATAGGAAATACAGGAAAGAATTATTCCTGCAAACTCTCTTTTTTCTCTCAGGAAACAGTGTGTTGATCAGTAACGGAGAGGTGTGGTCTCGCAAGAGGCGGCTGCTCACTCCAGCTTTTCATTTTGATATTTTGAAGAGCTACATTGCCGTTTTTAACTCCTCAGCTAAAACCATGCATGTAAGAGACACACAGGCACACATACAGATACACAAAACATGCTAATTTTAGTTTTTACTGACATATTTAGACAAGCAAACACTTGAAACCTTTAAAAACTGCATATGGTTAAACTGATACAGCAATGAGGAAAATTAGGTTTCCAGTTAACTTCAGGTTACAAATTAAGTTAATTGAAGGTTACCCATAATCTTCTTATGGCCTCTGACAGTGGCCTCCTCTCTGTGCTTATCCTGCTAGACCTCAATGCAGCATTTGATACTGCTCACCATAATATTTTGCTACAGAGATTAGAACATGCCCTTTTTAAAAAAAATTTTTATTTTTTTTTAGACTTTACAGTGTGACTGTATTTATTCAGGGTCAGGACAAGATCTCATTTCAGATTTCAGAACTCCTTTACAACGTTTGTGTAATGTTTTCTTGAATAGCTTCTGAAGGACGGTTTTGATTCAAGTTATCAAAAGTTCCTGTTTGGGAAATTGTGAATACAACTTTTGTTTTCTTTTACAAATTACACGTGCACAGCTCTTATATTTGAGCTTCTCTGGGTGATGGCAGTCAGACTTTTGTTGCTTTCATCTTGCTCATGACAGATTTGTGTTGCACAAGAATGTTTGACACTGTATGTTTCGTCCTCACTGGTAGGTACCCATTACTACACATCACAAAGAGCATGTATAGAGGCGCTGCGCACACAAGCACACAACAGCAGTGACAAAACTGCGTACCCCAGAGGTTCCCGTTGCCACATTTCTCATTATATCAAGCCGTGCGAAGCTCACTTTGTATGGAGTTGCTATGGTTACTTGTTAGATCCAGCTGGTTATAGATTTTATATTTGTGTATTGTTTTATTTATATATTTTAATATTATATTATGATATTTTCCAGTATTGTCAAAAACGTATGCTTATCATGCACAGAGCAGGTGCTGTAAATTATATACCATATGAATCACACACCACATATGATTTGTTTCCATGCTTATGCTCACACCTTTATCCTGTTAATCCCTCCTTGTTTCCGTTTTCAGGACAAGTGGTGCCGACTTGTAGCAGAAGGCAAAACTAATCTGGAGATGTTTGACCACGTCACTCTGATGACTCTGGACAGTTTACTGAAATGTGCCTTCAGCTACGACAGCAACTGTCAGCAGTGAGATCAGCCACTTACTTCAACTGATATCTCCCATTTTTGTTGTAGTTGTCAGTTTCTAAGAAGATTGTCCCTCCAGGTCTTCCAGTGAGTACGTGTCAGCCATAGTGGAGCTCAGTGACCTGATAATAGAGCGTAGAGAAAAAAATATTTTACACCACTGGGACTGGATTTACTGGAAGACTCGGCAGGGGGAACGATTCAAACAAGCCTTAAACACAGTACACAGGTAATAATCTGACCTTCTGACATTCTGCAGCTGAGTTACACAAGTCACATAGAAGGCTGCAATTGTGATGACACATTGTTACTCCCAAATGGTGAAAACTAAACTGTTACTGTCCTTTATGTTGCTTATCTTCTTTTCCTTGTGCAATACTGTTGAAAAAAAATCTATTTAAATCTAATGTTCTAGATACTTTTGATGCTGTAATATTCTTGAATAGTAACTTGTAATTATGTCTAATGAACTGTTGAGTATGGTAAAGGCAGGCTAGTGATGTAAACCGCTGCATTCTGGTTTACAGGTTCACTAGGGATGTGGTTGAGAAGCGCCGCACCCTCCTTAACCAACAGAGGGAGACAGAAGCACAATCTGAAATTGCTCCAACAGCCCAGAAGAGGAAAGATTTTGTAGACATCCTGTTGTTGACAAAGGTAGGATGGTACTCAACTTTAATAGAAAGCGACTGAAAGAAAATGAGCCGGGCTGAGCCGAGTAGATACCAGGAGGAGGTAGTAGTGGAAAAAAGGAGTGTATAGAGCCATTTTTAATTGAAATACTGCACCGGCTTAAGTGTCTCTTAAATAAGGGTTTGTAACATGTAGATGATTCATAATGAGGAAATTTCAACATAGCCAGACTTTCTCTGCATTAGCTGACTTCACATAATACTAGATGTCAAAATCTCACAGAGGTGAAAAATAAATTACCTGGAGTCATATTTAGTTTACTACTTCGTGCACTTTTGCTGCTGCTGTATATTTCATACAGCTGCACATTAAAGTTAAAACTTTTCATACATTTAAACATTAAAAGTTACTCTGTGTATATATATGTATACACTCATGTTTAAAAATGATTAAATCAACAAGGCACTTTGTTCACATTGTACTACATTAACTGTTTATTAAAACCTCTTTGCAGAAAAATTCAATCTTTCACTTCATTCTACCTGCATGAAGAATGTATCATAGCAAATCTCACAGCAAAATATTAGTTGTTGGATCTCTACATTTTCCCCGTGTGTTTTAGCATGCAGCACAGTTTCTGCTGCTTTGGGAGTAAGACAATATTTAGATGACACATATCTTTGGCCAAATGGAATTCAACTGTATTGATTTCACTGCATATTCTTCGAGCTGGTTGGATATATAGATGTGCTATACAGGCTCACTCTTATGGGCATCTGAGTGGGTCCTGGATAAGTCCTTTTAGTGACCAGTGACTTGTTTTTCTTGGCCTCCGCATATTAATTATCCTGCAGTTTGTGGTGTGTTTTCAGGCAGTTATATAATAATACCCTTTCCATATGATATGTTCTTGGTTAAGCTTCTGTTCATGGATGTAGTGTTTTAGGCTACATCCAGATGAACAAAATCAACCTTTTGGGATTTAATTAGCTGGATTATTGAGTATGCATCAGTTATTCGCTTCCAGAGCCATTATATTTGAACTATTACTGAGACAGCTCTGAAATAATCATGTAGAACTGATCTATATGTGGAATTCTGTGCAGACAGAGAACCTCCACCAGTCATTAGTGGCCTGGAACAGGTGATGGTATGGACCTTCCACACATATGCGTAAACTAAGTGAAAGTGTGTAGGAAGATGGTGTTGGGGACACTTTGAAATTGGCCACAGTGTAGGTAAATAGTTAGAAGTGAAACAGGGCATTTTAACATTGATCTCAAAAAGGCCTTCGACACAATCAATCACTCAATTTTATTGGATAAATTGGAAAGATATGGTATTCGAGGGAAAGCTGGTAACTGGTTAAAAAGTTACCTAACGGGTCGGGAACAATATGTTAGCATACCATTCAGAGAAACTTGGTATTACATGTGGTGTTCCCCAAGGGTCAGTGTTGGGACCAAAACTTTTCAATGTATACATAAATGATATTTTTGATGTTTCTCAAGTACTTAAACTCATACTGTTCGCAGATGACACCAACATATTTTTCAGTAGCGATGATTATACTGATCTTGTAATGACTGTAAACAGGGAGCTAAAATTAATAAAAAAATGGATGGACATAAATAAATTATCATTAAATATAAATAAAACTAAAGCAATGTTTTTTGGTAATTTAAAATATAATGTAGAATTACCAATTATCATTGAAGGTGTACCAATTGATAACGTGAGTGAAAACAAATTTTTGGGAGTCGTAATTGATAATAAAATTTCATGGAAACCCCACGTCAGACACATAAAAACCAAAATTTCTAGAAGCCTCGCAGTTTTGAACAAAGTGAAACAATTCCTTGATAAAGATGCACTTCGTACTCTGTACTGTACCCTGGTTCTTCCATATCTTACATATTGTGTGGAAGTGTGGGGAAACACATATAAAAATACAACTAATCCATGAGTCACAGTACAGAAACGAGCACTGCGTATTATTCACAAGGCTGGTTATCTAGATCATACTCACAAACTCTTTCTTCAGGCAAAGTTACTTAAATTCCAGGATCTGGTTAATTAACATATATGTACATGTGTGTGTAGATATATATATATGTATGTGTGTTTGTTACTTGTAGTTATTACTGCCTGTTACCTGTGGTAATGCAATTTATAATTTATATATTCTGTATTCAGTTATGAAGGCTCTAATTGTTGGTTGCAAGCTGCCGTTTAGATGCTTGTATGTGCCCGGGGCTGTTGATGGGTCTGTATGCAATGATGGGCGTAGCTGCGGGAAGTTTGTTTTTTTTGTTGATGAGTGAGTATAGGGGTGGGATTTAATAAGTTTTCTTCGTCCCACTCCTTTTTCAGGCAATTTTTGTTTTTTGTTTTGTGCATTTTATGTTCAATACAGGTATTTGTTGTGCCTGAAAATGAACAAATAAATGAAATGAATGAAATGAAATGAACATGCATTACATTTTTGGCACTGCATTAGTTGCAAGATGTCTGTGTGTTGAAGGATGAAGATGGGCAAGGACTAACGGACGAGGAAATGCAGGCTGAGGCCAACACTTTCATGTTTGCAGGTGACATGTTACAGTAACATCTGTGGTCACACATAAAAATTACACCATAGTGGTAACTGCTGCTGTATACTCTAGGATGTCTCTTTAAAGCTGCAGCTCATAGTTTGCTGTCATTATCCTCACACTTTGCAAATCTTCCTTCTTCTCGGGCAGGTCATGACACAACAGCCAGTGCCATCTGCTGGACGCTTTATAATTTAGCACGCCATGAACACTATCAGGAAAAATGCAGACAGGAAGTGATGGACCTGATAGAGGGACGAGATGGACAAGAAATCCAGTGGTCAGAAAATACAAATGCCAGCAACATTATTGGTAGTTTCAGATGTTTACATGTGAATTTTATCTCAGTGCCCTGACATGACTTGATCTTAAGGGAGGATCTGTCCAACCTTCCCTTCACCACCATGTGCATCAAAGAGAGCCTCAGACTCCACTCTCCTGTGCAGGCTGTAACACGGAGTTACACCCAGGACATGGTGCTGCCAGGAAATCGCACAGTCCCAGCAGGTGAGGGGGGAAACTCTCTTTCAAGATTTTCAAATAGACTTAGGAGATTCAAGAGCTGTGTCTTGTCATAAATCATGCTTTAGCTTTCATTTGTGAGACAGTACTTTAAGGGATACTATTTAAGGAGAGATTACTATATATTAGTTCCAGTTTTTAATGTCAAGTTACACACTTAATGAGAGAAGCTGATAACGAATAAATGTTGAAGTTGTAAAAGGAAAGTTTAAGCTTTAACTAACTCAACTAATTGTTTCTTGTAAACCAGGTACAATCTGCTTGGTAAGCATTTATGGAACACACCATAACCCCACTGTTTGGACAAACCCACATGTAAGCACTTAGTAAGATCATCTTAATTTTTGATACAAATCTGTCATATTTAATCTTTGTCATTTGCTCTCTAACCAGGAATATGATCCCCAGCGATTTGACCCAAGCAACAAAAAGAGCCAAACCTCTCATGCCTTCATCCCCTTCTCCTCAGGCCCCAGGTTCAGTTTCAGAATTATTCCCAACAGTACAACTAGGAAATGTTTTGGTAGCAAAATAACAAGTATATTTTAACAGGAACTGCATTGGTCAGAAATTCGCCATGGTGGAGCTCCGTGTTGTTGTGGCGTTGACCCTGCTCAGGTTTCGACTGACCCCAGGAGTGAATCCTGAACTCGGGAGCAGCAGAGTTCGCCGTCTCCCCCAACTCGTCCTGCGTGCGGAGGGAGGCCTGTGGCTGCAGCTGGAGCCTCTGAACACACCCACATAGCAGGAGCAGTCAGATGAATGAGCCAATAAGATGATATAGTAACTTGTGTTTTTGAGAAAAGAGTAAAGAAAAGATCAGCCAGGAAGTGAAACTTAATGCAGTATCTACGTCGATGCCCACTGACAAACGTTATCTATCTGCAGTAACTTTTTGGTGTATTTATCTAATATAGGCAAATGCAATAATAACCATGCAACTCTTTAATGTACCTCTCAGACCGTAATTAGCAGTTTGGTTTTGAGGTTTCATACATTAATATAAGGGCTAAAATCTTCTTGTCAGAAATCGACATTTAACTGGGCAAATAAAAAAATTATCTTCTTTAACATAAAAAGAAACATAGCATTCACAATTTTGTTTCCTTTCTTACATTTTGGTGGCACAGTTGATCTGTCATAACTTCGATATACTGCAGCTCTATATTTAAGTACTGTTAAGAAAAAAAATAAGTGAATTTCAAAAAAACCTTTTTTTAGATATAAATATACGGCTTTATAGCTTTAACTTTTACCTGCAATATTTTTACATGTGTAAAAATGATTACATTTTAACTATTAATATGATGAAATGTTCCTACAGCACAACTGATCAACCTTAGAGTTGCAGAAAAGTACTGTTATTATAATGTAATTGTATGTCAATTCTCTTACATGGCAGTCTTATTTAATCATAAAAATTACATACCACCCTTAAAAGTCAAAATGCTCTTAAATACTGTAAAACTAGCATCTGGGTTTGTAATTATAACAATCTACTGTTCATTGTTGATTCTATCAACTGTTATTGATATAATTTATTATTTATAACTTTATGTAAGAAATCGTGGTATTTAATAAAAAAAATTTTTAAAAATAAGTTATTCCAACCTACAAAGTTTAAAATGACGTTTTATTTAAAAAATTAAAAAATGTTAATGTTATTAAATGTTATTGGTATTGTAATCACATGCACATGTAATTACATTGCTAACTACAAATCTTATCAAATCAGACTGGATTCCATATAAACACTGAAAGTTACATTTAATATTAGCTTTGGTTTGTTTGATACTATCATAACAGTGCAGTAATACGGCATAGCATTTTGATTTTTATATAAACATTTACCTACTTAAACATTATAGAGTTATGAAATTCAGTTTTCCAATGACAGCTTTTAAACACACTTCCTGTGTCTCAACATTTAATCCTTTTTTTTAATCCTGTTTGTCATCCTTCACCAGGTACAAACTATAAATGGCCTGTTTCCTTCCTCCAAATTTTTTCCTTATTGCTGCCTATTGGATGAAACTTTTCAATTTCCAATCACATCATTTCAGATCTTGTCGAGGTTGCGCGGCAGAGTACCAGCACTAACACTGCTTCTGTTAAGAACTAAGATACAAAATGTTTTGACTGATTGGTGGCACAATTTTCTCAATATAACCCTTTCACTTCTGATATTTTTCAATAAAAAAAAGTACAAAAATATTGATATTTTTAGTGTTACATAACTGATAGTACTTTAATTATATGAAATTTCAATAGCCATCTGTAAAATAATATTATGATTGATTGCATTTTAATAATGCAAACCTGTAATTTACATGCAATTGTTCATACTCATTACATTTGTATCTATATATAATCTGTATACAATATACATTTCTGAATCTGGCAACTACTGGACAGTAATTATAGTTTTCAAAGATAATTATATCTGCAAAATTCTGCAAAGATGTAACAGAAGAAAAATGTAAAATTACAGATTTTTTTTTTACAGCGTATACAAGAACTCTATAAGAATTTTGTTTGCGTTTTGTTGATGTGCTGTAAAAAAAACAAAAACAGTTTTGCTCTAGCACAGGTTACAAAAATGCCCAGAACACAATACTCCCAGTCCTCCCAGTTCCAGTTTTGTTTTTGGTTTGTGTCCAGATAAATTGACAATGTGAAAAATGCAAGCATGTATTCTGCTTCAAAATGTATTCATAGCTGTAAATCCAATAAATCAAAAGACAAACAAAGATTGCTGGAGGAAGAAAGTTTATTCTGCTATATTCAATGTTTCCCAAATTCTTACACTTCCAAAATAAATCCTTTAATTTCCAGAATTAACTGAACATAGCCACATAATTAACATTTAGATAAATGTTACTGCCAAGTAAAGAGGCACAAATAGCATCACTTTCAACTTTAATTCTTCCACGCATCAAGGTGTACAGGTTTTCCATTGTTACACGTTATCACCTGAAGTTTGGTTTCAGTGTACTTGTATGAACAAGGGTTCTTGCTCGATTGTTTACATTTAATAACGTCATACTCTCTGGGGATGAATCCTGTGTTTGTTTTTACACACACAGTCAGAACTGATTCCAAATACTCTTCTTTGATGAAAGTGTTTTTCTCCTTGCATTCATTTCTGCCATTGATGTTTTTCATCATTTGATCACAGGAGCCCTTTCTCACAACGATATGTTTAGTTTTGAGCTTGTCATCAGTTTTACAGAGCACAGCAGGAGAAAACAGCACCAGGAGCAAACAGGCACATTGAAACCTCATGATCCCCTGATAAAGAAAACAGAGCATTTACATTAATATTTCCTCATTCTTGTTACTGGTGTAGTAGATCTGTCATAAATTTGATATAGTGCACATCAACTGGATGACACTGATCACATTTTACTTTGGTTTTATCTGAAAATGTGTAGATTTACAGTAAAACAGTGTTGAGCCTCCATCAAAATGTTTGCATTTATTTGATGCTCTGTAATAACAGAGCCACAGAGACACTGCTTTTGCTAAATGCAGTTTCACATACAAAAATATCGGTTACCCAGCACTCTACCTTTTTTTGTTTTTGCTTGTAGTTGTTTGGTTAACTCGCAGTGGCTCAGGAATGAGTTGGTAATCTGCAAAGTGGAGCAGAATCAATAATTCAGACTTTGGTATTCAACACACGTCTTTACACCTGTGTGTGAACTTCAGTTAAGAGTTTTGTCTATCAATGAGTTTCTTTCCTATAATATATGATAAATGAATGTTCTTACCAAACATGAAGTGAAGACTGAAGACCAACAGATATTATATTTTACATTTACAAGTCATAGTTTGCCTTTGTCAGAGCGTAGACTCTGTGCACTTCCGCTTTTATACATAAAAGCACAAACATCTCAGATAATTATTTGCATCACTTTTGCAACCTTCCTGAGACGCTTTAGCACTTCTCTATTTGTGATTAGGAAACAATGCAACTGTCACAACAAATGACCACAACAGCTTGTAGACACAGTTTGCTATTCAAAGCTGGTTTTACATTAAACAAGGTATTCCTGCATGTTTGTCGGCCAAACTGTGACAGCACTTTTTCACAGCACTATATTTATATAACTGATGATTTATACAGTTTGTGCACACTCTGCTAACATATCTGGTGCAACAACAGATGAACTATGATGTGGCATTTATTCTGTGACTGACAGACTTGTGAAATGTTTTGACAGTTTGCTCATATTTCCGCATTTTAAACCAGAAGACCAGTTGCACTTGTGGCCACAGGCATGACTCTAACATGACACGTATCTCTATACTTCTGAATATATCTACAATTTATAATTATTCTGCCACACAATATATACATCAAATAATATTCTGCCAGTCTGCTAATAAACTATTTGCACATCTCTGTTGTCTCTCCTGTATATGACAGACATCTATCTAATGTAGGTCAAGGTACACTGCATATCATATAGTATATGCTCGAAAAGCTAAAAACAAAATAGAAGTAATACACTTTTAGATTGTCTGAGGACACTAAACCTTTAGATTTTTGATCAAAACATGTTCCAGTTAAATATTTTTGATTATTCTTATTTATTTGGGAGTAACAATATGTAGTGACAGTTAAAGTTCAACTTATCAAGATGCCAAATGTCCCAGTATTAAAGTCTTGTGTTAGAAGTTTCATGATTTTAGTTTCTTGTATTATTAATTACACTTTATACACACTGTGGCCCCATTAAAGACTGATTTGGCCATGGTAAATTCAGATGAAACATTTCAAAGTTCATATTCACTCAGCTGTAATGTACACATGACTTATTTTGCCATTACCTATTACAATAGCTTACTGCGGGAAATGGTTAATGCGGTACAGAAGTTTAAAAATAAAGAAAGAAAAGCTAAAGTGGCGAAACTGTTTTGTGACTTCCATCTCTGTAGAGAGATAAGCACCTCTGCATGTCACATGGTCAAAATTCACTGAGTCAATGTCACGTCTGCAGGACGTGTGACTCTTGTGAACACACTGTACACCCCCTGTCTGCAACACCACTGGAGTCTAGAAAACAGCTTTTGTTTTGTTATGATCAGATAAGACATATTTCTCATGTAAACTCATAAAGATGTACATGGTGTGATGATTGACAACATAAAAGGACTTTTTATTTGAGCACTTTGGCCCTTTATGGTTTGCATCATGATAAAAAAATATTTGTTTTAGTTTAAGTCACTAATAATAATAATAATAATAATAATGTTAATGTATTAAACCAAATATATATGTGTGTGTGTTAGCAGAGAAGGGCGTAAGTGCATTTCCTTGTTGTGGTCATGTCTCTGTAACTCTGTTGGTTAGTTGTTTATATGCCGTATATGGGCTTAAAATACACACTATGAAATGGACAGGAAGTGTGGGTGCTAAACTGTTGCTCTGCATACCACAGGAGTAGGGCAGGAGCTGCACAGAGGAATCAGGGTTCTTTCTCCCTTGGCTGTTTTGTTTGACTTTTTGTTCCTTTTTTGGTGATTTTCATCTTTAAGCAGGTCAGTCTTTGAACTTGTTATATTTTACCATTTTGCCTTTGTGTAACCTTTTGCTAGTGGGTAATAACATTTCCGTAGGCCTTTTGGTTATAAACACTGATATCTGAAAAATGTACATCATAAAACTGCACGAATACAATGTTTTTAGTCCATCATTAATGATAAAACTATAATAATAATGGCAGTTGCATTTTGTTAGTACTAAGATTGACCAGAATCGACAGGATTAAAAAAGATTACATCAGAGGGACAGGTTTTGGAGACAAAGCTGGAGAGGGCTGGTGTGACAGATGAGGATGGTAAGGATAGGATGATAACTAAAGCGAACAACTGAAAGGGGAAGAAGAAGACTAGAAGTTGTATACAAAAAAAGTATTACATTAATTAAGTAATATCCTTGGAATGCTTCAGAGTTAAAGAAAACAAAAGTAATAGTGTCTCAGTGAATTTGTATATCTGATAAATGACCTCCATAACTTACACACAGAGCTGTTTGTGAAAATAAGTGACTCGTTGTTGTTGGATGTTGTTCAAGTCATATATCTCACATACACAGCTGACTTTAGTGGTTACTTTGCTTTTGTTAAAGTTAAAGAGTCTATCAGCAGGTCACTGTGTAATGTATTTACTATGATTCAACCATATTCATCAGATTGAATCTAAAAATACATCTTTACCATCTGGTGCTTCAGACGACCAGCTTATGTCCACCGCAGATTAACCAACCAACCCGTTCTCAGTCAAGTCACAAAACTAAGTAATTCAGCAAGTTTGCATTACAAAAATTTAGTATATTATAAAAAGTTTGTTTTGTTTTCTTCTTTTTCTGTACTTACTGTTATAGTGTACTAAAAAGGTCCTATTTTTCTTGTAATTCCACAAAAATGTAAACAAAAATTCAGAAAGTTAATTTCCCAGAGTATTGTGTTGGATGTCATTTACTCAGAAAATGTTTTTTTTATTATGACTGTTTAAACAATATTATATTTTTTTTGTTCTACAGACAACTGCCCACTAAAATCAAAACTTTAAAGAGGACAGACTAATGTAAATGTTTGGTTTTTCTTCACCAGGGACTCATGAAGGTTCAATGTGCCTGTTTGCTGCTGCTGCTGCTCTCTGCTGCTGTGCTCTCACAAACTTATAAAGATTTCAAAAGGAAACACATCCTTCCAAGAAAGGGCTCTCATGACTGTAATAACATGATGATAAATGTCAATGACATAAATCAGTGTAAGTCAATAAATACTTTCATGAAAGATAAGGTGACCTTAGTAGTTGCTTTGTGTAGCACTAACAAAAAGGGGTTTGTCACCCACAAATTTGATGTCATTGACTGCATAATGATAAGCAGCAAACCTTGTTTATACCAAATGCTAACACTCAGAAAAAACAAAAGGATAAAATGTGAAAATGGCCTACCTGTACACCTTGAGGCCTGAAGTATCAGGTTTCAATGATGCCTTAAACGGTTCTCTGTCTTTCTGTTTCTTTATCAGTTATATATTTTATTGTGTGATGCTGAATCTGAGTAAATAAGTCACAAAAAGAGTCCCATCAGTCAGACTCTGCCCAAACTTTGCCTGTGCCACAAGCCTTTAATTTTGACCTTCCTTTATAAACATTTACTTTTGATTTAATAAAGGCTTTCTAAAACCACAAAATTAACAGATAGAAAGTATGAAATTGTTTGAAATGTGTCTATGAGGAAGCAATATGTTCATAAAAAATGTGAATTTGAACATGTGCTATCTCAAGTATATCATAAAATAGTTTGAAATGTTTAATCATTGTAGGGTCTGTGATTTGGTGCAATATAAATAAAATGTCATTCAATTTAATGCTGTTTTAAATAAACAGTAGAAATTCCTGATTATGTGTGTGTTGCTTGTTGAAGCACTTTGAGTTTGTTGAAGACCATCTCTGAAGATGTCCTTTGGATCAGTTACTATCCTTACATGACATTATCGTGTATAATGTGTGTTTTAACAGTTCTGAGAACATGATTGTGATTGGCAGTCAAAACTACTGTAACAACATTTGTTGATAAGTTAACATTTGCATGTCTTCACTTTTTGATCATCTGGAGATCATTTAACTAAAATAAAAATGTGCAATCTGACAAACCAGGCTCTTGATTTGTCTCTTACATTTTTGTGTTCAGTACTGGCATAATCATAAACTGATGGTGAGACTAATCAAA